GGGGACGGAGGGAGGAAGGGGGAGGAGGGGGAGAGGGGGGGGGGGGGGGGGGAGGAGGAGGGGGGGAGGAGGAGGAGGAGGGGGAGGAGGAGGAGGAGGAGGTGGAGGAGGAGGAGGAGGAGGAGGAGGAGGAGGAGTAGGAGGAGGAGGAGGAGGAGGAGGAGGAGGAGGAGGAGGAGGGAGAGGAGGGAGGGGGGAGGAGGAGGAGGAGGAGGAGGAGGAGGAGGAGGAGGAGGAGGAGGAGGAGGAGGAGGAGGAGGAGGAAGGAGGAGGAGGAGGGGCACGCCAGGACGAGGATGGTTGAGGGAGAAATCGAGACACAGGTTTTGCCTAGCGTGCGGCCCCCCGAGGCCCTCAGCAGGCCTCGGGGCCGTCCAACAACGGTCGGGGCGAAGCGCCAGTTCCAGGGAAGTGGTCGCGAGAGGTCGAGGGCCCGGGCCTCGAAAGAAGCGTGACGCCAGGGCTCGGGGCCCCGGAACCCCTTCGGCTCGTTTCCGGCTCGAGGAACGGCGCAGAAAGACAGGGGCTGGAGGGCTCCAGTCGTGCTTCCTCGCCGGGGTTGCAACCGTGTCGCAACGTCGGATCTCGCGGGGGAGGTCTCCGACGACCTCACGGCCGTGCTCCTCGAGCTCGGCCTCGCCGGGGCCCGCCGTCGGGCCCCCAGGGCCAAGTACTATGTGGAGCGCCTTCGGTCTGCCTGCACGGCATTCCCCCCCCGCTCCGCCGCTCTGTTGAGCAGCGCTGGGCTGAAAAGGCGTGCACACGAGTTCCGACTCGCGTGAAGCGCCGATTCCCGTCCAGGCTCCGCCCCGCCCCCGCCCACCCCCCTCACGCCCCTCTCCCCCATCCATGCAAGCACACTGGCCAGAGTGGGCACATGGATCCAGGACGAGAAACTACTCCCCGGGAGGTGGTCGGGACCCCTGGGACCGAGAATTCAGCGCATCCTGTCGGAGGGTGCGCCGCCAGTCAGCGCCCAAGCGTCGCGGCGCGAGAGCCTCAGGAAGGCTCGGCACCGCCGGGCGGTGCCGCCCCAGGCTGCCTGGCCCTGCCCACCCCCTCCCCACCTGTCCCCATGTTTGCCGAGGAGGCGTGGAGTGGGGGGGCGGGGGGAGGGGAGCGAGGGAGAGGGATGGGAAGGAGAGAAAAGGGGTGTCGAGATGGGGGTCGGGGGGGGAGGAGGAGGGGAGGAGGAGGGGGGAGGAGTAGGAGGAGGAGGAGGAGGAGGAGGGAGGAGGAGAGGAGGGGAGGAGGAGAGGAGGAGGAGGAGGAGGAGGAGGAGGAAGAGGAGGAGCAGGAGGAGGAGGAGGAAGACACTCACGACTCAAGGTAATACAAGGTAGGTTTCTTATCCTCCGCCGATCTCATATGCAGATCTTCATCATCTCCATTGCCTCCTCCACAACTGGGTGAGCGCATACTCATAGCCTTGCGAACCTCATAGTATGTTTCCTCTGGCTCTGTTGCCTTCAGTTCTCTGGCTGCGCACACCTGGGTCTAATTTGTCGGCCACAACGCCCAAGTCGGTGCCTCTCCACCCTTCCCCCTGCCTACCAGACTGACAACACGATCCCCGTCGAGCTAAGTTAGCCCAACGTGCAAGGATGATGAGGAGGAACAGGAGAAGAAGGAAGAGGAGGAGGAAGAGGAGGAGGAGGAGAGTAAGCCCAAGGTGCATCAACGATGTTGTGATACGCCTGCCCGCGACAGGTCGAATCCTCGTGGGCCCAGGCAAGAAATCCTCCCTTCCCTGCGGGAACTGGCCCCGTTTGCAAGACGAACGCCTCGTGGTTCCGCAATTCAGGCGAGAGCCCTCGTTTCCAGGGGGAGCTGACATTCATAGTTCCGGTTGTAAGGACGGCAACGGAGTAGGACCACAGAGTCCATGGAGGTATCCAGCGAGAGCCCCCCTTTGAAAAGGGGCTACCCTCAATGCGTGCAAACTTTCTCAACTTTCAGGTGTGATCATAGCACACGGCAATCTCAAACGGAAGCTCCGATTTGAATAGGAGCCACTCTGCATCCGGCTAGCTGCTGAAAACTGTCAAAACGAATGTACATGGATGAATGCGGCATTAAAGCGGGAACCGCAGTTTACAAACGATGCCCTCCATCGGTGCAAGTGTTGGAATGTTTGAAAACGAGAATGTACTCGACGCACAAGAGAGAGCCGCATTTGGAAGAGGAGCCACCATCTATCCGTGAAGCTCTTGCAAGCTTTTAAACCAAATGTGCGCGTTGCTAACGAGAGAAACACATGTTCAAAGGGCCTGAGTTCAATCTGTGCCAGCACCAATTGGAACTGCTAAAACATGATATTCGCGGGGCTCAGACGAGAGCCACAGTTTGAAAACGACCTGTGCTCCATCTGTGCAACTGTCGGAGACGATGACGACAAATGTGCGCGGCGCTACGGCGACAAACACATTTTGGAAACAACCTGTGCACCATCCGTACGTTATTCTTCCCCCGCGGCTGCGGCGGCTGCGGAGCTGTGGCGTTTCAGTTCCCCCCGCCCGCTATGCCTCGCGTGCTGTCGAGAGACGCAGCTCCAGCGATCTTGGGCCAATCAAACATGCGCACTCCTGGCTCTCAAGGTTTTCTTCCGATGCAAATTTTTGACCCACATCACGCGCCAATGTCCGTGCAGGAGGTCCAGCGTCGTCGTCGTCGTCGTCGTCGTCGTCGTCGTCGTCGTCGTCGTCGTCCCCCTTCGGGGTCCGCGGCGCCAGCCGCAAGGCCTTCGCGGCATAATTCTTGGACCTGTGTCACGCGCCAGTGCCCGTGCTAACAGCCCAGTATGCCGCTGCCGCTCTCATCGCTAGAGGTCGGGGTGAAATAGCCACCCCTCCTCCGCCGCGCGCGGGCTCCATCAATCGGCAGGCGCCCTCCAGCCCCCCAGGCCCCCGCCCCGCTTCCCTCACCCTCCCGCCCCCCTCCGCCGCCTTCCCTTACAGCGCCGGGCCGAAAAGGCGTGCAAGTGAGTCCCGACTTGAGTGAAATCCAGATTTCCTTGTGGGACTCGCCCCGCACCGTTCTCCCCTCTCAACGCAAGTAAACCTGCCAGAATCTAAAGAAAAACAGCCTCCGGGCCGCGGGGGGGGGGGGAGAGAGGTGCCGGCAAAGCGAGTTGTTTTCAAGAACGTCTCGCTACTCGATGCCTCTTCAAAGCAGCCAATCGTCCTACAACAGTGGATTTGCATCGCCTGCTGATGGAGTTGGGGGACGCAAAGGTAACGATGCCGCTACTCCCAGGATCCCTCCCTGGGTGCGTTCTGACTAGATCTTCGAGGCAACTCCAGCTGGGGCGACGACGGCATCCCAGGAGGTCGAACAAAGTCGAAAACGATGGAGGATATAGGAGGAGTGGGAAGAGGAGGAAGGAGGAAAGACGATGATGCTGCTGATGATGATGAAGGTGATACTGATGCTGATGCTGCTGCTGCTGCTGATGATGACCACGATACTGAAAATGACAAAGAAGAACATGATGATGACGATGTTGATGATAAAGGTGATGGTGGTGATGACAATGCTGATCCTGATTATGGTTTTGATTATGATGATGAAGATTATGATGGTGATGATGATGCTGACGACGACGATGATGCGGATGATGATGATGATGATGATGATGATGATGAAGATGATGATGATGATGCTGATGATGATGATGATGATGATGATTGATGATGATGATGATGATGATGATGATGATGATGATGATGATGATGATGATGATGATGATGATGATGACGAGGAGGAGAAGGAGGAGGGGGAGGTGGAAGAGGAGGGATGGGGATGATAGGGCGAATCCAGCTGTGACGAGGACAATATCCCATGAGGTCCAAACCTGCAAAATCGATGGAGAATGAGGACGAGTGTAAGCCCAAGACTCGTCAACGATGTTGCAATCAACCCTTCCTCCAAGCTCTCTCTTCATAGGCCCCTGCAGGGGTTCATGTCCACTGAAGGAAATGCCCAGTTGGAAAAACTCCTGAGCTGTGCCCAACGCAGCGAGTCATCGTCACTGTTGCGTCTAGGCGGTCCTGAGTCGCGCCAGAACAAAAATCATCTGATTTCAGCACCCGGAATCACCGTAACTGTTGCGCCGACTATCCGACATCGTACCAAAACGCAGATAGTCTTCGACGTTCTCCTAAGACTCCCCGAAGCTGTTGTAAACTCTTCAAGCGAATGTGCGCGGCGCTGCCACGCGAGCCACATGTTGGACATGGACCGCCCTCCGTCCGTGAAGCTGTTGCAGTCCGTATGACCAGTGTGCGCGGCGCTCCCGCGATCGCCACATGCTGAAAATAACCCGCCCTCCAATCCCTGGAGCTGCTACAGCTTTTTAAGAGACGAGTGTGCGCGGCGCGAAGGCGAGAACCACATGTTCAAAACCACCCGCCCTCCATCCGTGAGGATGGGCGTGCGCGGCGCTCCGGGGAGCGCCACGTGCTTCAGAATCGCCTGCCCTGCATCCGTGAAGCTGTCGCAAATTCTACGCTGAGGGGTCATACGCGGCGAGGGGCTCTCAGGCCAAACGCCCGGCCCGCCCGGAGGAATGGCCTCGGCGTGCGACAGGGAGGATCTCTTGTTACTCTTGGGAAAAAGGACTGGGAGAGGGAGGAGGGAAGAGGGGGGGGAGAAGGGAGGAGGAGAGAGGACCATGATGATATGATGACGATGACGATGACGATGACGATGACGACGATGACGATGACGATGATGATGATGATGATGATGATGATGATGATGATGATGATGATGATGATGATGATGATGATGATGATGATGATGATGATGATGATGATGATTATGTTGATGACGATGATGACGTGGAGGAGGGAGGAAGGAGGAGGAGGCGGTAGCAGTTTCGGTACCTCCTCCTTTTCCGAAGGGGTGCCGGCTCAGTCCGAGCCCGCGGCTCTTCCGATCTCCGCCAGCAGCAGCCGTGGAAACTTCGGTACGTCTTCCTGCTCCGAAGGGGTTCCGGCTCAGTCCGCGCCCGCGGCTCTTCCGATCTCCGCCAGCAGCTGCCGCGCCGCGGGCGGCGCGGCGACGCCCTGGGCGCGCATCTGCGACACCGCCCTCGAGAGCAACACCGCGTCGGGCGCCGCCGCCTCCAGCGCGGCCGCGTACAGCGAGGAGAGGAGCCCGGGGTCGCATCTGGCCCCCACCTCTCTAGAGAGAGCAGAAAATCCCCCCCGCATCAGGAGCACCCCGACATGCGAAGCCGTTTAGCAAACGCACCCATGGAAGGATTCGAACAGGGCGGGATGTTTTAGTATACGCCCAGGGCCGTTTAGTAGTAAGCGCCAATTGTTGGGGTCGGGCCGGGATGGTTTTTCTCCCGTAGGCTCTCGGAGGGGAGAGGCAGATGCCACCGCCACCGAGAGTCCATTGGGGGGGGCGGGCCCACCCAGAAGACGAAGCCAGGACGAGTGCAAAATCCGATCAGGACATAATCTCAGGAGGTTTGTAGTTTTGCACCCCTCCCTGTTTCTCTCGGCGAGAAAGTCGCCCCTCCTCCTCCGCCTGCCACTCCCCCTCCTTCTCCTCCTTCTCCTCCTCCTCCTCCTCCTCATCTTCCTCCGCCTCCTCCTCCTCCTTCTCCTGCTTCTCCTTCTCCTCCTCCTCCTCCTCCTCCTCCTCCTCCTCCTCCTCCTCCTCCTCCTCTTCATCGTAGTCCTCCTCCTCCTCCTCCTGCTCCTCCTCCTCCTCCTGCGGGGCTCTCGGAGATGCGGCGGCTCTGGAGCATGTGCCGGGCGACGCGGCCCCTCCACAGCGCTCCAGGCACGCTCTGCCGAGAGCGTTCCCGAACGCTCTGGGACGACTCACTTGGGTCCTGGCCCCGCCCGGCCATCCCCGATGGGCTCCCGGGTGGCGGCGGTTGTCTTTGCGTCTCTTGCGCCACCAGCAGATGACCATATCCACTGCTGCTGGGTCGTGTTCCGAGGACTCGGGGAGCGGCGGATGTGGACATCTGCCCGCCGGCGCGGGCGGGCAGATATATCCACATCCGCCGCTCCCCGAGATCCCAGGGCACGACTCCGAAGCGGCGGAGGTGCACGTGTCCTGGCGGTGGGCATCTCCCCTTGGTGCCGCCTCCGCGAGCAAGGCGAGGACCTCCGGGACGTACTCCCTGCTTCCGCTCCTGCTGTGAGGTTCCCAAGCGGGCGCGGCGGCAGACCGCGCGGGGACCCGCCCAACACGGCCCGCCCGCCAGGGGAGGAGGAGGAGGAGGAGGAGGAGGAGGAGGAGGAGGAGGAGGAGGAGGAGGAGGAGGAGGGGGAGGAGGAGGAGAAGGCCGCACGTCCCCGCCCAACACGGCCCGCCGCCGCGCGGCTTCGCCGGGGGCCCCGAGGCCCCAGGCGAGCTCGCGAGGCGCCCTCGGAGGGCGGCTCGAGTCCCAGGACCGTGCAGCCGCCCCGAGCCCCCACGGACTCCGCGCGCGGCGCTCCGCGGCGCGGCGCCTCGGGCGCGAGAGAGGCGGGGCAGGCCCCCTCGGAGGGCTCGGAAGCCCCCCCGGCCTTCCCTGCGGGACCTCCTCCGAGCCCTCCCCGGAGGCGCCACGGGACTCCTCGCGGGGCCGAAGAGGGCTCCTCTGAGAAGCCCTCCGGCGCCTTCTGGGAGGGCCCTCTCCCCCTCGCCCTCCCCCCGGCGCTCACCGCCGAGGCGTGGCCACCGGCCCCGCGCTCCTGGCGAGGCTCTTGACCAGGATGGAGCAGGTGAACTTGTCCGGGGGCAGGCCCGCGCGGCGCATGCCGCCCAGCAGCTCCCAGGCCTCCGCCACGCTGCCGCCCCGCACCGCGGCGTCCATGGCGGTGTTGAAGGTGATCGAGTTGGGGGCCACGCCCCTGGCGATTGGCAAAGGGAGCCCCAACCCTTTGGGAGGCGGCCCGAGTTGGGAGGCCAAAAGCGTTAGGGATAGGGGCCCTTTCTGCATACGTACCGGACCACACCGCCCAGATCTGTTGTCCCTAATTCAAAGACGGGGGCCTCAGTGAGGCCACGTCTTCATTATGTGATTCAGGTTCGGGGCTCGCTTTGATCTTCGATGACCTGGAGCTCATCTCCGCGAGGGTCCTGAGAGCGCCCTCCGCGTCACCGCGCTGGGTGTAGCCCTTGAGCACCGTGTTGTAGGACACCACGTCGAGGATGCCGGGCTCCTCGCGCTGGGCCTCCTCGACGAGCGCGGCCGCCTCCTGGACCTGGTCGCAGGACACGCCCGTGGCGAGCACGAAGTTGAGGACCAGGCTGTCCCGCTTCACCTTGGGCGTCGCTTCGTGGGGGGGCGATAAAAGAGGGGGGGGGCAGGGAGGACCAAACTGTACTTCTCGGGCCCTACACGCTCCCCTTCGGGGCCCTAAAGGGCCCCTTTTCTTCAGCCCTCGCTGCCCCTCCCACTTATCACCCCCCCATTGCGCGACGCCCCAAGCACCCCGCGCTCCCGCATCTCCCGGAAGACCGCGAGCGAGGCGGCCCAGTCCTGCCTCTTCGCGTGCACGCGCAGCACCGTCATGTACGCCCGGATGGACGGCGTCGTGATCGACGACAGGGTCCTGAAGAACTCCACCGCGCGACTCAGCTCCCCGACCTCGGCGGCAAAGCCGATCAGGCAACTGCACGTCACCACCGAGGGCTCTAGACCGTCCTCCTTCAGGCGGTCGTACGTAGCGAGTGCCTGCCGGTACTGCTTCTGGGCCGCAAGCTGCTTCATGGTGACCTCGTAGAAGTGCAGGCTCCGCTCGACATTGAAGCGGACCATGTCCCCGATAATCCCGTCGACGAGGCCCGAGCGGCTCGTCCGCACCGCGCACTGCACCACTGCCGTGTAGAACTCCAAAGGCGTGTGCTTGGAACGCCTGGCCGCCTGCTCGAGAGTCGGCGCGCCGGGCGCCGACATGCACGCCTGGAACTCCGAGTAGAGCACGAGGACCCTCGATGCGAACTTCATGCTCTGCTGCTCCCGGATGCCGCTGACGACCTCGTCGATGATGGAGACCAGCGCGGAAGGATCCTGGACGCCCGACTGCCGGCCGCTGGCAGTGCGGGCGGGCACTGTCAGGACAGGCCTGCGCCGTTGGTTGGCGCCCGCACTGCGCCATGGGGCCCCATCGCTGATGGTCGTGGGACAAGTCTTGGCGGCAGGAGTCGCCTTCGCGAACCCAGGGGTCTTGCCGTAGCCTTTCAGAGGCATCTGTTGCTTGCTCGTGAGCATCCGCACAGCCACTGCGCAGAGGGCCGTGACCGCGAAGATTGTCAGCTCCATGCCGATAGCATCCCACGCCGCGGAGGCCATGGTGATTGACTCGACCTGGGACGCTGAGGTGGCAGATGCCATGGTGGCAGATGCCATATTACCTGGTAGATATGTACGTCACGTAAACCTTAGCCTTGACAAGCGGAGCTGCGTCAGCAGCAGCAGTAGAATCTGATTGGTAGAGCAGTAGACTTGATCGTGAGGCGCAGCAGATTGCTGTGAACCCTTGGGCCCAAATGGCCATGGAGGGGAGACGGATGCGGATCGTGGAACATACGGGCCTCCTGTCGCTGCCAGGGCCGCCCGAGCAGGGGAAGATAGCGCAGGCCCCACGACCGACAGGGCACTCTGGAACCCACGCGTGGCTGGCCGTACTCATCTTCCGGACACGTGCGCCTTTGTGCTCCATCCGTGCCCATGGGGCAGGGGCGAATTGCCGTTCGGCCACGGGCGCCCTCCAGACGCTCCGGCGAACTCGCCCGCACGGCCATGGCCAGGAAGCATTCGTTCGTCGTGTGCAAGGCTCTCGCCTAATCCGGTGCAGACAGAGGCGCTGAGTCGGCGGCGCTGTCAAGCCAGCCCCACCTGATCCCAAACGCTACCTCCTCGCACAGCTTAGGTGCCGTGCTCTGCCGTACCGTTCTGTGTTGTGCTACGCGCCGCGCCGCGCTTGGCCACGGAGCGCCCTGCTGTGTCGTGCTGTGTTGAGCCGCGCAACTGGAAAGATTATATCTTACTCGGTGCCGTGCCAGGCTGTGCTACGCCATGGTAAGCCACGAAAGCCCCGGGCCCTGGACCCCTCGTCCATCCCTGCCTCCCTGCGCCCTCCTCCACCGCTCCTCGTCCTCCTTCTCCTCCTCCACCTACCCCCCCCCCTCCTCCGCCTTCGCCACCTTCTCCCTCGCACCCCTTCTTCCTCCTCCTCCTCCTCCTCCTCCTCCTCCTCGTCCTCGTCCTCGTCCTCGTCCTCGTCCTCCTCCTCCTCCTCCTCCTCCTCCTCCTCCTCCTCCTCCCTCTTCTCCTCAGCATCCTCCTTCGCCACCTCGTCCCTCGCCACTCGCCCCCCTCCCCCTCCCCCTCCTCCTCCCCCTCCCCTCCTCCTCCTCTCCTCCTCCTCCTCCTCCTCCTCCTCCTCGTTCCTCCTCCTCCTCCTCCTCTTCCCTCTTCTCTCCTCCTCCTCCTCCCCTCCTCCTCCTCCTCCTCCTCCTCCTCCTCCTCCACCTCCTCCTACTGCTCCTCGTCAGCCCTCGCAGCGCCGACAAGCCTTTTGACACCTGGGAGCAAGGCCTTCGCCAAGCCTGGGCAGGCCTTCCTAAGCCGTCTCTGGGCCCACCGATGCCTCTTCTAGGCCACCCCTTGGCCTTCCTAGACCTTCCAAAGGCCCCTCGACCCCTAGGCCTACCTGGGACCTAGGCCTACCACGCCTCCACACCCCTCCCTCTCCCTCCGCCTCTTCCTTGTCCCCATACTTCCCCGAGCCTCGCTGCTCACCTGGGGAGCCTGTGTAGTCTGCCGTGCAGAAGAGGGGCCGATGCCACCGCGGGCCTTGCCTTTACCCTCTCCTGCTGCTCGCTCCCACCTCAATCTGGCCGCGCGAGGAACTGGAGGCCCAACACCTGGCTCTGGACAGATCAAGTCATCCTCCCCGTCGCCTCTTCCCCTCCTCCTCCTCCTCCTCCTCCTCCTCCTCCTCCTCCTCCTCCTCCTCCTCCTCCTCCTCCTCCCTCTCTCCTCCTCCTCCTCCTCCTCCTCCTCTCCTCCTCCTCCTCCTCCTCCTCCTCCTCCTCCTCCTCCTCCTCCTCCTCCTCCTCCTCCTCCTCTCTCGTCCTCCTCCTCCTCGTCCTCCTCCTCCTCCTCCTCCTCCTCCTCCTCCTCCTCCTCCTCCTCCTCCTCCTCCTCCCCCTCCCCTGTATCCCCCAGGCAGAAATCCTGGAGTGCGCGCTTGCCAGGGTTTCGATGCGGATGCCGGCGTAGCGACGACGACCCTAGCCACTGCAGACCCACCTAAGCAGGGCCAAGACAGTCGGAATCCTTTCACCGCCTGGCCCCCTCTCGTCCTCCTTCTCCTCCTTCTCCTTCTCCTCCTCCTCCTCCTCCTCCTCGTCCTTGTCGTCCTCCTCCTCCTCCTCCTCGTCCTTGTCGTCCTCCTCCTTCTCCTTCTCCTCCTCCTCCTCCTCCTCCTCCTCGTCCTTGTCGTCCTCCTCCTCCTCCTCCTCCTCCTCCTCCTCCTCCTCCTGCTCCGCCTCCTCTTTGAGGCCGACCAGGCACGGCAAGAGCACACGGGGTCGGAGGATTCCACCGCATCGCCGACGCATCGTACACGCACCGACGACCGCGTGCCATGTCGCACCGCACCGCCGAGGCATCGGCGACGCGCGCGATCCTCCGACCCCCTGCCCACGGCCCCACCGGGGCGGCCTGTAGAAGTGCACTCGCGCCCCCCCCGGCCCCTCCTGTCCGAGAGCCGCCCGGCGACGTCCTGGCGGCACACCGCACAGGTCGTGCCTGGAGAGGCGCCATCCCACCGCTCGGCCCGGCCCACGCCGCTCCCCTCACGATCGGCGAACATATCCGCATCTGCGCCCTCGCGGCCTGGATTCGGGGGCGCAATCCCACGGACACGCGGTTGCACGGATACGTTCCGCGCGGGGCATCCGCGAAACGACGCCCCGCATCCACGGACACAAATATGCTGCTCGCCCACGGTGTCGTTTTTTTTTGTTTTCTCTCTCTCTCTCTCTCGCTCTCTCTCTCTCTCTCTCTCCCTCTCCCTCGCACGCGCGCGCGCACGCGCGAGCACCTCGAAATCGGTCCCCGGACTCCCCCCCCCGGGGTCCAAACGCACCAGTCTTCCAAGCTGCGCCCAGCCGTGGCGGCCAGGGGGCCCGCCGAAGGCCAACCGACCGCCGTCTGAGCCCGCCCTCCTCTGAAGGGCCCTTCGTCCACTGCACTCGCCCTCCTCTGAAGGGCCCCTCCCCAGCTGGAACTCTCAAAATCCTGGCTTGCACCATCCTGGTTGCCGGGGCCCCGAAACTTGTACCGCGGCGACGACGCCGTCCAGGAGATGGGGCGCAGAGCTCCACGGCCCATGTCGTGCGCAGGGCCACGGCGTCGGAGGTCCGGGGACGTGGCGCGCGCACCAGAACAGCTCGCGGAGGAAGCGGACGGGCCCGAGCCCACGGGGAACACGCGTGCTCGGCCGAAGGGCCCAGGCGCACCCAGTCTCACCCTGCGCTGCGTCTGGACCCGCCCGCCGTGGCCGGCGTGTTGACACAAAAGGACACTCTTGAAGGGGCCCCAGGACACACAAATACATACGCACAAATAGAAATATGCCCAATATTTTCCTATAGTTTCTGGCTTTTTGTCTTCCCCCCCACTTCTTATATCTTTTGCATATTTTCCTGGGAGTCGACGATTAATTGTGTCTGTGTGTTTTTTCCCCTCCTGAACTCTGGGAGCGTGCGCGCACCTCTCGAGCCATGGGTCGCTCATCAGTGAATCCGCCGGCCCCCCCGCGGGGCCATCGCATCGCCCAGTTACGCTTTCTGCTTCCTGCTGCAGATTGCTGCTGGCCGTGCGAGGGGGGGACCGAAAACCACCCTGGCCCCCACGCCCGAATCTTGTTGCCCTGCTCTCTGGTGGGTCTAGGAGACAAGTAATGATACATGATGTTCGCGCCTCCGAGACAATGGCCCGTTGTAAAATAGGTCGGGCTCGCGATCCCAAAACCGGCATCCGTAGTACAATACGCCGGGTTCGAGCTGCCGAGGCCAGAATCTCTGATGCATTGCACTAGGTGCACGGTAAGTTGCACCAGGCTCGCGCTCCGGAGGCCAAAATCTGTCGTGAAGAGCTCGCTTCTAGCGCTCTTGAGACCAGAGCCCCTGGTAAATCACGCCAGAATCGCGCTCCCTGTGCCACAACCCCGTTGGGAATTGCGTCAGGCTCGCGCCCCCCCCCCCCCGAGGCCACGATCCCAGGTAAACGACGTCAAGAATACAGTAGGAGCTCGACCAGAAGAAACCCAACCCTGAGACCCCAGGACGTCCATTCATGTCTAGAGTGGGGGCGTCGCGCGTTCCATCGTAGAACCATCGGAGCCCAAGATGCCCAGGGCACCCCTGGAGGCAAGCAGGGTGCATCTCGGCATGGTCTCGCACCGTACGGGTCGCCCTCGTCAGGTCGACGGAGCGGCACCCCGAAACACGGCCCTCGCACATCGCGCTGCGAGGGAGGAGAGAGGGCGGGGGGGCGGCGGCGGAGAGCCAAGCCCTCACGGATATGCAACGGCAAGGCGTGCATGGCAGACCTGACGTGGAAGACTGCTGCTGCACCATGCGTCTGAGCTGCTGCGGCGATGGAGCTCACGCGATGCACTGCGTCTTCTGCAAGGGGAACTCTGCCAGCTATAGTTGCTTTGAAGGCTGGCGCTGGAGGCATGGCTCTCGGTGCGCTTCGGCGGACGCAATCGATGCGCCTGGGCATTCGGAGCGCCGCGTACGATGCTGTTGACACTTCGTGCAGATGCTCGCGCGCGCTCTATGAAACAGAAGCAAGTCGGCCACCGAGACGCGAACAAATCGAGGGCGCATGGCGGAGCGAAGTCAGGGGGATACGCAGGAGGTGGAACAACACGGAAGGAATACGAAGAGACCAGGACTGCGGGCGCGGTCGGGAAACATGTCCTTTCTGCAACCATCGCCGTAGACAGTCCTTATGAAACGGGTGCCCGCATGCAGGGACCTTTATGTCGTCGTCCTCCTGGCAGGGGAGGACGGGGAGGAAGAGGGATACTCCGAGGGGGCCAGCTTCGTCAGCGGTGGCGGCGGCACAGGGGGGAAATCAGACTGGGCGAGGTCGCTAGAAGGGGTGGGAGCCGTGCCGCAGCGCCCTGGCAACCCTCGAACGCCCTGTGATAGCCCTCGCCCTCGCCAGAGCCAGTGGGGAAGGGGGAAGAAGGATAAGGAGGAGGAGCAGGAGGAGGAGGAGTGGCCGCGATCGTGGATCCCTCATGCCATCAGGAAACAGGAAACAGGAGGAGGAGGAGGACCAATGCAAACGCAGGACGCATGAACAATGTTGCAATGAACCGTCCCTGGACGTTCTCTTGTCAGAGGCCCCTACAAGAACTTATTTCATTGCGGGGAACGCACCATTGGAACACAACCGTCTGAGAACTCCAACTCGTGCCAAGACGCAATTCCTGTTACTTCAATGCCGCTAACGAAACGTACTGTTGCGTCCTGGCAACCCTAAATCGTGTCATAACAGTCATCAGCATCACGAGTCAACTTCACTGGTGCGTCCTGACGACGGGACTTCAGCGCCGCGAGCCAGCATGACCCGTGCGTCCTGACTATCCTGACTATCCTAAACCGCACCAGGAGACAAATCCTGGGACTTGCGTTCGCGTGCGATTTAGATTAGCCTTGAGCCACGTTTTGAGAAAAGGCCCGCCCTCCATCTTTGCAACTGTTACAAGCTTGTCACACGAATGTGCGCGGCGCCATTGCAACAATCAAATATTAAAAGGGATTCGTCCTCCATCCGGGATACGGTTGCAAGCTCTTATCCTAAATGTGCGCGGCATTACAGCAAAACCATATTTCTAAGATGCCCCGCCCTTCATCCTTGCATCGGCTGCGAACTTTACATCGGGTGTGCCGCGCTAAGGCGAGAACTGCATTTGAAAACACACGCCATCCATACGTGAAGTGAACGCACAATTCAATCTACAGAATAGAGAAACTTGTGGAGGAATCTCAGGCGAAACGCCCAGCCCGCCCTGCCGACACGCCTGGGGGTGCTACAGGGAGAATCCGTGTAGAAAGAAAAGAAAAAGGAGGAAGAAGATACATTGAAATACGGGCGCATAGAATGCGATGGCCGGGCACGCCCCCAATAGGCAGGTGCAGGTGTGGGACCAGGGCGTCACGAGCCACGATTGATTACAAAGTTGGTCCCCGCCCGCTCATCCCACTCGCCCCAGATGCGGCACATGCAGGGGTAGGCCCCCAAGAGAGCCCGAAGAGGCCCAACAAAGGCCCCTAAGAGGGCCCCAAAAGGACAGAAGTTCCCATGACAGCACGGCGTCGGGTTCCTCAAAATTGGACGCACGGCGCCCACACGCTTCTGCGACAACGCCCCCCAGAATAGAGGCATCGAGAGCTCAGGGGGGTCGGCGAAGCGGCGCAAGCCATTGCATCACAAGTGGTGCTCCCGCCCGCTCCTCCCACTCGCCCAGGCAGATGGGGCACATGCCGGGGTAGGTCTTGCTCTCCTCGTCCCCGAAGTTGCCGGGGCAGTAGGGCACCGTGGGAGGAGCAAAAACTGTGGTGGAGGCGAGGGGGCCTCACCCGGTCAGCGGCCGCTGGCGGATCGAGGCCCAGAGGGATACCGACCTTCTCTTTGCCTGGCTCTGCGCGTCATCGCAAGAAGACCTGGGCTGGACAAACATTACATTCCAAAGGTTAGTTATCTCGCAGAGGGGGCGCCGAGAATGGGAGCAGGTGGCAAATGCCAGTCGGTGGATGAGAAATTGACATCCACTGGGCGCAGGGTAGCGCGGTCGGCCAGCAGTGGCGGTCGATACTAATTCTGCGCGAACGCTCAAAACACCCTGAGCTGTTCTGCACGAGGCGGCTCATGGCGTGATCACCGGCATCGCATCACAAACGCGCGTTTCAATGGTTGGCCAACCCGTGAAGCGGTGCGGCCTGGAGTGTCAGAGCGACGGAGGCGAGCAGAAGTGCGATTGATAGAATGATCGAAGCTGCAAATGCGGTTACGGGTACGACGCGTGGCTGTACACTTCGCTCTTCTTAACCATGTCATGTTTGTAGTACCGTTTGATATTCGTTGGCCGCCCCTGGCCGCCCTCCCACCCCTCAAACTCGGCGTGCTGACCTGCGGGTGCGTCTCATGGTCCCAGCAACCATGAAAGCGCTTTAACCAAAACGTAAGCATGATGTCTGTCGTTTTCAAAACCATTTTTTCAGCGCTTTCAGACCAGCTCCTTGCGCTGTTGCACATGGCAGTTCGGCACGTTCTCGATTCCTTATCCTTGTGTCAAGTCCTCCCTGCATGTTTAAAATCAATCTTGGTCTTCTCTGGTCGTCGCTGCTGGCCGGCCGCGGGGCCTCCGGGCCTGCTCCGCGCTGGTGCTACACCGGTGTTGGGGCGTTTTCCTTTGTCGAATGTTCAGCTCTGCGCTCTGCGAGCGGGCCGGGAGCATCGGGCGGCGGCAGAAGCAGGAGACGAGGAGCGAAGACGGCGGTGAAAACAAGGAGCAGCCTTTGACAAGACAGCAAAAACGCTAAACATGAAGATCTGCACCGACGGGCCCGAACACGCTACACAACCATGTAAAGCACGCTTAGACAACGTAGCGTCGTTCAATGTGTTCAACTTGTCAGAGCCCAAAGTGCAAAGCGGTAGACAAAACTCCCAGGGCATTTTTGCAAGAGAACCAGGGCTCTACTACTAATAACGCTTTGAACTGACTTCCACAACTGATATTACGTTTCAACGAGGGGCACTTTTTCTGCAGCTGCTGTATCACATGTACGGATTGTGCCACTGCATGTGCATCATGCTGCGCTGTCACTGGCACTAAGAAAACCAAGAACCATATCACTGTGGTTGTTGCAGCTGCTCTTACTAGAACGCTCGACTGCTTCATCTTGCATCTCGTGGCCCATACGTTGCCACCGTCTACCATATGGCATCGCATGTCCTTCAGGACCCGCCACGGCAAGCCGAGGATGGATATGGGGGGATGGAAGATGAGGAGGAGCGGGGAGGCAGGGAAGCAACGGGGAAAGGACGCTTGTCTGCCTGGCGCTGCTGGGCATGAATCACACGCGAGGACCGTCACGACATCGCACTGCACCCCAACGCGTGGACGCGCAGATCCGATACCCCGGCGAGGGATCAACAGCCGTGCGGCGGGCCGCTATGCGCAGGAAGAGGAACGGAGAGAGCAGCAGCGAAGGCACCGACGGCAGGGTCTCTATCAGGTTGGGCGGGGCGCCCACGACTTCGGGCCTGGGGTGTGTCCGCGTGTCCCAGATGAAGACCACCTGCCATATGAGGAAGAAGCTGGCCATCATGCTGACCTGGGCGTGGCTGCGTGGGCATGCTCGAAGGGGAACTGGGACACACAACTAAATAGACACATATAAAAAGATTCCCCATATTTTCCCATATCTTCGGGGTTTCTGTCTTCCCCCCCACTTCCCATATTTTCCCATATTTTCCTGGAGGCCGACGATTAATTGTGTCTGTGTGTTTCTTTCCCTCCTGAATGCTCAGCTACCACACTGCAGGAGGCACGCTGAAACAGAGCACCGGGCTGCCGGCAGGTGCCCCAAGAAGCTTCTCATCCCCCGATGGCCCAAGGAGCCCACATAAGCTCTGGGGGCACGTCAGGAACCTCAAATCAGCCGACCCTGTCGGCGTGTGTAAGGGGCTTGTCTGTTCGAATCGTCGTCTCCGTCAGTCGTCGTCTCCCTCGTCCCCTTTCCCTGCACCCTCCTCCTCAAGCTTATCAGCGAGAGGAAAATCTAGCAATGTCGTAGTCGAGTCCCTTCTCTTTGATCCCTCCCCCGTCGGAGGGGGTTCTGGGGGGGCAGGGGGTAGGGGGGGGGGTCCCTAGGGGGTCCCCCCTGCGGGCCCCGGGGCCTCAGAAAGTACCAAGACAGGCCAAGAGTGCCCCAAGAGGCCCCCGAGGCGGTGCTAGAGGGCCTCAAATGGCCAAAGCATCGTCCAAAACGCAGTTACGCCCTCCAAACTGCCCAGGAGGCCGCCAAGACGGCCCAAGAAGCCTCCAGGAGCACTCCCCGGAATGGCCCCACGAGGTAATTGTTGTTTGATGTGCTGTTGTTCCTCTACTTGGACGTTCTCGCCTTGTCCGCTCCTCGCCGCTCCAAGGCGGCCAAAGAGGACCCCAAGATCGTCCCAGGACGGCCCAACTAGGGGGGAAACAAACCTACCTCGCTTTCGACCACCCTCGCTTCCAAGAGATACCAAACGATGCCAAATTGCAGCCTGCACTGGTCAGGCCGCTTGACGAGGAGAGGCGCATGGTATGGCTTGGTTTTGCCTGGAAGCGAAAGCGGGGCAGGTAATTCACACTCTGGCCAACAGGCATCCAAGAGGGCCCTACAACAGCCAAAGATGACCCAAGGGCACCCCGCAACGCACCACGCCTCCAAGACGGCCCAAGAGGCCCCCAAGGCGGCTCCAGAAGCGTGCCCAGACGGGGGGACCCGAACGGACATGTCGAGCCCTCGGCACGGAGACTCCCGAGAGTTCCCCAAGCGTCTCCCAAGAGGCCCACAGGAGGTCCCACAGGAAGCCCGAAGAGGCCCCAAGAGGCTCCAAAGAGGCACCCAGGAGGCTCCCGAAAGGCCTCAGAATTCCTCCCCAGAGGCCCCCGAGAGCCTTCCGAAGAGACCCCAAGAACCATCCCTCTGGCCAGCGTCAGCGTCGTGTCGTCGCCGCCGCCGCCGCCGTTGTCGTCGTCGTCGTCCCCCTTCAGGGTCGGCGGCACTGGCCGTAAGGCCTTCGCAATATCGTCGAAGCCTATGCCCAAACGTTATATTATCGCAATGGTTACTCTCGTATGTGCCTACTGTGCCCTGCAGCCGTAAGCGCATCCACGCTGCGACCCGTGCCCAGAGCGAAGAGTGTGCCCACGCGTCCTTGCGCGTCTGGGCCCTGCACGCCAAGACTGCACGCTGTGCTTCCGAGCCCTGCTCGGGACGCAACCAAGGCGAACGCGCCCAGGCCAAGACGCGGCCACGCACCGGTGTGCCGACGCCCCGCGGGCAGCCCCGCCATCCTGCCAGGGGCACGCCGAAGCGTGTGCGAAAATGGGCATCTGCTGTTTGGTGGGGCTGCCGACAGGTTTTTCTGCAGCGATCCCCCCCTCCAGGCACGTGTGGTCCGAACAAAGCCCACTCCCCCCCTGTGACGTTGGCCTCTGGGGTCCGTGTCGGCTGCCGGACCGCTACACGGGAGCCAGAGAGCGTCGAGGCGGCTACAAGACGTCCCGCGAGCTCACAGAGACGGCCCACCGAGTCCCCGCAGGTTCCAAGATCCCCCCGAGGTGGCACAAGGATGCCCCAAGAAACTCTCGAAGAGGCATCCAGCGAGGCCCTTACGTTTTCCTTCCGAGGCTTCTTGCCTTACGAGCGGCGGCGTCTCGTCTCGCGGCGGAGATGCCGAGCCGCCGGCGAGGCCGCTGCAGTAGCCGAACAGCCGGAACGCCGCGTAGAGGTCCGGGTGGTGGTACCCGCACTCCTGGGGGGAGGGTGACAAGGATGCAATAGAGGAGCCAGACTTGTGGATGCCATGACACTGGACACCCTAACAATTCGGTCATTGAATCAAACATGTGTTTAAAATGTTTGAACATATTCTAAACATGTTTAAACAGATGCTTTGCACATGCTTAGAACATGTTCTAAACATCTGGGGATTACTTGGCAACATGCTTTCTCTCCGTTGATCGTCGTCCACAAAGCTAGACGAGGAACAGACAGGGAGACGGACGGACTCGCAGCCGAAGGGCCTGGAGGCCCAGCCTAAGAGGGCGGCGCGCTGGGGAGGCAGCCCCGCACCTGATGGCGTTCACGAAGCCCGCAGAAAAGGCGCGCGGCTGCGGTCCAGCTTCCTCGAAACATTTTTGCATCGGCGGCGAAGCGGAGGCGGTCCGCTCCAGCGTGTGGCGATTCGGGGCAGCCGAACCGCAGATGGGCCGGCAGGCGGGAAGAGGGAGAACGCGACAGGAAGGGCGGCTGCGGAGGACGGGGGGGAGGCGGAGGGCACTCGGCCGTGGGAGAGTTCCGCGAAGAAGCTTCCTGAAAACATGTAGCGGTTCATCGGCGGCCAGCGTGCGTGCAGAACTCGTGTTGGGAGCAGAACTCGTCCTCCCAAACGCCCCAGGATGCCGAATATCCTGCCATGTCCATCCGGCTCGTCATATATACCTAACCGACGCCCCCACCACCGAGAGAGCTTCGGCCACAGTCGATCGGCGACGAGCCCGGGGGGGGAGGAGGGGTGGGTTTTCTCCCAGAAGGCTCGGAAGTCCCCCACTCCTCTGAAGATATTCGGGGGCCTTCGCCGAAGACACAAAACGCCTCGCAGGAGGCGCGGGGGCCGCTGAGACGCCCCGCCGCCGTCTGGGCAGGCCTCCTCCTCCTCCTCCTTTCCCCCCACACCGCCCGCCGCCGATCCACAATCGACGCCCCTAGCCGAGCCGAGAACGCTTCGGCCACGACCGAGCAAGGCTCGACCAACATCAGCTTGCACCTCGTGCGCCTGCATCGGCGGTGGACAAACCTCCCTTTGGTAGACCTCCCCTTAGTGAAAACGGCCTGGAACCGAAACCGACGGGCCCGGACCCGCAGAAAGGTCGGCCGCGACGCCCTCTCGCGAACCGAAAACGGCCAATTCCTTAATCGACGTGTCAGGGTAGGAGGTCTGTCCACCCCCGACGGCAGAGGGAGCGGCGGCCGGGCCCAGACCCTGCGCCCCGGACGCCGGGGGGCCCGGGGCAAAGAAGAGGAGGCAGCGAGGAGGGGGAGGAGGGCGAGGAGGGAGGGAGGAGGGAGGGAGAGGGAGAGGAGTGCTCCTCTCTCTCTCTCTCCTCCCCTCTCTCCGTGCCGCCGCTGCCTTCTGCATGGCATCTGCCCTTCCCGCCGGCGTCTCCATGGCGCGAGTGCTCCAGGAGTCGCCGGGCTCCTCTTTTGACCGATCCCCCCCCCCCCAACACCCGGGGCCGACCGGCCCTGCGGGAGGGGGGGGGGGATGGCTACGCCCGCCGGCAAAAAACATGTACGCCATCAGTGGGTCAGCAGGGCCGGAGAAGAGATGGGAGGGGGAAGGGGCGAGGAAGGCAGAAAAGGCAAAGAAAGCCCTTCGCCTCGAGGAGGCGAAAAGCAGAAAAAAAGGCAGAACAAGCAAGAAAGACAAACAAACGAAGGAAAAAAACGGAAAAGCGGTTCGAATCGAGGGCAAAAAGGCTTTGGTCCTCGCCTCGTGCGCCAGCGTGCCGCTCCGCGCCGAGGGGCCGCCTCTCTCCGGCAGGGAGCGTCGCACGCGGTCCGCGGAGCCGTTTTCAATCGTGGCCTAACGGGAGGGCTCCTCGCGGAGGAGTTAGGGGGCCGCGTGCGAAGCCTACACCCTGCGAAATGCTTAAGAAATCATGGGTTAAGAAACTCATAGTCTCAGAACTTGAGTAAAAACCCAACATTTCCATTCAAATCTTAGGATTTACATTGAAACATTAAGAATAATCGAGACTCTGGCCGAAAACTTAAGTTTTCTTAAGCATCGCCTCAGGTGTACCCCTACCCCCCACGATTTCTGAGGGGGAGGGTGGGGTTCGCTTCGTTCGGGAGCCTTCGAGCGAAGCGAACCCCACCCTCCCCCTCAGAAATCGTGGGGGGCAGGGGATGTAGGGTCCGCATGCGGCCTCGCGGAGGAGTGCCACCCCGAGAGGAGACGAGAGAAGAGGGCAGGCGGACACAAGAGAGGGACGAGACGAGGGCAGATGTTCAGTACCGATCGCCCGCCTCACCAACGATTGGAGCCGCGGGGCGCGCCGGATGGACTGTCGAAGCCCTCCACGAAGGAGGCGCGTCGCGTCCGCACGGGTAGGCTCTTGGCGGGGCAGGACAAGCAGGAGGAGGAGCAAGAGAAGGTACGGCACGCAGCCGAACGGGGGGGGGGCAGGCGGAGGAGGCTGCACGGGGGGGGGGGGGGAACTGGACATGCACGCAGGCTTGGGCTAACAGCAGCCAGGACACCCTGAACGACGAGGGAAAGACGAGTAGAGTCCATTTGCATCCTTCGAATTGTCGCCAGGCTCACTGAAGAACCCTTTTAGGGGTGCCTCCAGGGAAGCTCTTCGAAGGAATCGCGCCGAAGATTGCCGCATGAGCGCCTGCCAGTCGTCGTGACACCGCACGGTGCTTCCAAGTGACAAGGCCGTGCTCTAGACCTCCACGCTGGCCCCAGGAGCAACCGTGCGACAGGAGGGCGCTCTGGAGGCGACCGCGAGCCTCGGCCGCGACCTGGTCCCACGACCCGGATCTGCGGAGCGGCCCGTGAGCCATACGCCACGGAAATATGTGCAGCAGGACCTCGACCACAAAAAGCCCACCACAAGAAGCCCAACCCTGAGACCCCGGGTCGTCCATGGATCTTTGGTGCGGGGGCGTCCACGCTTTCCACAGCAAAACAGGGCACCCTGGAGGCAAGCAGGGTGCTTCTTGGCATGGGTTTCCACTGTATAAACGGACATCCTCCAACGAACTTCGAGTATACCTCCAAGGAGGGCGGCGGTGTAAAGAGTCGCTGGCCCTCAGTGGCGATTGATCACCATCGCCCTCCCCTGCGGCCCAGGAACAGTGCATTCGAGGGCGTCTGTGTGTGACTGAAGCCCCTGCGGACTCCCCCCAGCGGTCGTTCTTTCAGCGCCTTGCCCGTACAGCAAGTTGTGAAGCCCGAGCCGGCCCCGTTTTCACACGACATCGTGTCCCCCCCTCTCCTCCCCTCGGAGGCGACACACCGCCCGGAGACAAAGGTGCAGCGGCGGTGCGCCCAGACGAGTTCTCGCACCGCTGCATATCGCACGACTTTCTGTGTTGACGTCATCGTCCGCTCCGACTCCGCTTCCAAGTGATCTTGGCGAACGCCATCTTCGACCCTTTTTGTTCCTTGGGCGGTGTACGATAGAGGACGAGACCCTGGCCGAGCGAACGGCCAGCATCAGGCGGCGCCCACAGAGGGGTGGCTGGGCTTCCTAGAAGGCGGTCTTCTGCGAAGGCGGCTGGGCTTCCTAGAAGGCAAGAACCCTCGCAGAGGCCCCGGAGGCTCTCAAGACGGCCTCTCAGAGGCCGGGCGGGGCTTCCAAGAAGCCCCCCCTGCCTCTCTGGAAGCCCCGCCGCTGGCTCAGACGCCCGACCGGACCCCCGCGCGTGACCCCGTGGTGGGCGCCCCCCAGTGATCGAGACGCAGGTGGCGCTGAGTCGATCGGACGGGGGGGCCGGGAGAGAATGGGGCCGGCAGACTTGCGGCGTGCCCGCCACATTCACTTGAGCCGCCCAGCACGCCAGTGTGGGATCCCCCCCCGGCGGACAGCCCGAGCGGCCACGTGGCGGCACTCTTGCTGCCCCCTCGTTGCCGAGCTCCTTCTCCTCTCTTGGATCTTAGCACCCTCCCTGCTTCTCGGAGCAGGCCCCGACCTTTCAAAGGTGCGAGAAGGCGCAGCTACATTGCCTTCCTCCACAAGATAAACTTTAACGCGCCCTCGAACGCAGGATTCAATTCGAACCGTGAGGAAGAGTGGTGCCAAGACGCTCTGGAAGGTCAGCGCATGCAAGACGAAACCGAACGTATGCAGAGAGCATAGAACGTAGCGGCATGCTGCATGCTGCAAGCTTCCGGACCCCCCCCCCCGCCACTCGGCATCACGCTGACTGCCCGAGGCGCGCTCCTACGCGAGGCGCAGTCTCGCTCTCCGACCTCTCTGGCCCGCAGAGAGGTACGGAGGAGGAGGAGGAGGAGGAGGAGGAGGAGGAGGAGGAGGAGAAGGAGGAGGAGGAGGAGGAGGAGGAGGAGGAGGGGGGCCGTACGTCTGCGCCCTGGAGCTCCGCAGGAGGCACCCCTGCGGGGTTTTACAGCTTGGCCCGGGCGCCGCGGCGTGGCCCCCGCGAGGCCCCTTAATTAGAGGGAGAGGGGCGGCGCGGCTTCCTGGAAGGTCCGGAACTGCGCCAGGAACTCGTGCGAGGTGAAGCAGTACACGTACCTGGAGGAACACTCCTCCCCGTCCTCCTCATCCTGCTCCCGCTCCCCCGATCTCCTTTCTGTGTAACCAGCTCCTCCCTGTCGCCCCCGCCCACGTGTCGGTATGACGGGCTGGGCGGTTGGCCTGAAGCTTCCTCACCACTTAAGATCCTGATGCTTCGAACCTTCGAGTCGTTTCCAGGATGGACGGCGGGTGATTTTCGAAATGCTGCGCTCGCCCTAACGCGGCGCACATTCGTGTTTAAAAGACAATTTGCATCAGTCTCAAGGATGGAGGGTGGGTGGCTTTCAACATGTGGTGTTCGCTCTAGCGCCGCGCGCATTCGCTTTTACAAAATCTGCAGCAACTTCAAGGATCCGGAGGACTGACGTACCATGGATCGCGTTCTGGCACGCTTTAGGATTGCTAGGACGAGGTAGTCACGTTGATTCGCGGTTCTGCCATGACGCAACATTCACGTTGATTCGCGGCGTTGAAACGCAGGGGTGGCGTGTCGGCACGTTTGAAGATTCTCGCACGGTTGTCTTTCAACGGGGCCCTTCCCGCACAGGGATGCATCCTTATAGGGACCGATGGAAAAAGGAACCTTGGAGGGAGGGTTTATTCCAACATCGTTGATGCGCCTAGGGTTTGCACAGCTGCTCCTCCTCCTCCTCCTCCTCCTTCTCCTCCTCCTGCTCCTCCTGCTCCTCCTGCTCCTCCTGCTCCTCCTGCTCCTCCTGCTCCTCCTGCTCCTCCTGCTCCTGCTCCTGCTCCTGCTCCTGCTCCTGCTCCTGCTCCTGCTCCTGCTCCTGCTCCTGCTCCTGCTCCTGCTCCTGCCCTGCTCTCCTCCTCCTCCGCCTCCGCCTCCCTCTCCTCCTCCTCTCCTCCTCCTCCTCCTCCTCCTCCTCTCCTCCTCCCTCTCTCCTCCTCCTCCCCTCCTCCTCCTCCTCCTCTCTCCTCCTCCTCCTCCCTCCTCCTCCTCCTCTCCTCCTCCCCTCCTCCTATTCCTCCCCTCCTCCTCCTCCGCCTCCTCCTCCTCTTTCTCCTCCTCCTCCTCTCCTCCTCCTCCTCCTCCTCTCCTCCTTCTCCCTCCACTCACTCCACTCCACTCCACTCCGTTCCACTCCACTCCACTCCATGCCTCCCTCCCTGCCTCCCCTCCCCTCCCCGTCCGTGCCTCTGGCGGCCCACGGGAGCGGGGCACAGGGGCCAGTACAGCGTGAAATGGACGAGGTAGTTCCAGGTGATGCTGCGCCTCGGGGCCGCCAGGCCCCCCATCTGCACCATCTCCGCCCCTCCCCCACATCCACCTCCCCCTGGGCGGGGCCCTGCCCCTGGCTGACTTGATCGTCCTCCTGATCCTCCACCCTCTCCCCCTCCCTTCCCTCCCCCCCCCATCCATACGGCCACCGTCTCCCTAGGCTGCTCCACCTCTCCGCCGTCCTCCTCCTCCTGTTTGTCCTCCTCCCGCCTCGGTATTCAGATAACCTTCTCGAATTCCTCCCGTCCCTCCCCTCCCCAACCCCTGAAACTCCTCCTTGTCCTCTTCCGTGTCCTCCTCCTCCTCCTCCTCCTCCTCCTCCTCCTCCTCCTCCTCCTCATCCTCCTCCTCCCCCCTCCTCCCTCCCTCCTCCTCCTCCTCCTCCTCCTCCTCCCCTCCTCCTCCTCCTCCTCCTCCTCCTCGGTCCCCCCCTCGTGTTCCCCCCTTCTGCTCCTCGCCCCCTTCCCTCCCCTCCTTCACTCCAAGCCACCCTGCTCAATCCTCCCTCCTCCTCCCTTCCCAGACCCCCGACGCCGTGATTGGTGAAACTGCGGGCCCTCAGCCTCTCGACCCCTTCCCCAGGGTTGGCTTCTCATCCCGAGCCGTTCCTTGACGGCCCCAGCGCCCAACAAGGGGCCCTCAAGTACTGACCAAAGGCGAGGCATCCTCCGTCGCGTTTAGCTCACAACGCGAGGGGGCTCAGTCTGCGGCGTCAAAGCACGACCCCCGGACTTCTCCCCCATGGGTGCCCTCTGGCCAGCATTCCGAAGGAACTCCCGCCATGGCGGCGAAGAACGCCCCTGGAAGCCCCAGACAGGTCCCAGCAACCGGGTGCAAGGGGTCGTCTGGGTCCACCTCCTCCTGACTTAGTACCCCACCCCACCCCCTCACTTAACCTCCCACTGCTTTCTCCCGTACCCACCCCGTCTCTACTTCAACCTCGGCTGGGAGGACGGGCCGCAACGCGGCATTGTCCGGCACCCCTGGCGTGGGAACCGTAGGCCCAACAGGGCGCTTGCTTCTCCACGCCAGGACGCGAGAGCGTGCCCGAGGGCCAGAGTGTCCACAGCAACTCCGATACGCAAGTACTTTTCCCATCTCCTTGTTCCCCTCTCTCCCTTGCCTCTGGGGTGTCCTAGCAGCCGTTCCGCCCACCGTGGCCTCTCGTTCGCTGCGCTGCGTCGTGGTCTGAGTGCCCTCCCGACGCTTTGCCGTAGTGGCCGCCAGAGGCCCTGCCAGAGCCAAAGCGGCCTGGCGAGCGGGGCGTTGGCAGCCGCGATCGCCAACGTGAGAAGGAGGAGGAGGAGGAGGAGGAAGAGGAGGAGAAGGAGGAGGAGGAGGAGGGGGAGGAGAGGGAGGAGGAGGAGGATGAGGAGGAGGCGACCTACCCTTCCGGGATCAGCTCCCTTCTTCGACGCCCGGGCGTGCGAAGGGAGATCGGCCCTGCGCGGCGGTGGAAGATGGGGGGGGGAGGGGGGGCTGGACGCCAGCGGTGGCGCGAGGGCACCTGGCTTTCTCTCCTCCTCTTACTCCTTCTCCTCCTCCTCCTCCTCCTCCTCCTCCTCCTCCTCCTCCTCCTCCTCCTCTCGCTCTCCTCCTCTGCCCAAGCCTCTGCCCAAGCCTCTGCCCAAGCCCCGGGGCGAACACCGACCGGCCCGGGGCGGAAACGGGGCCGACCCGCCCAAAAACCGCCGCTGCGGAACTGACCAACCCTGGCCGACAAGCCCAGCATTGCCGCAGACCCGCCCCGTGAGCCCTCTGCAAAGTAACGCCCCGCGTGGTCACCCGACACGGGGCCGCGTCTTTGCCTCTCATCGTCTCTCCATGTTCCTCCTCCTCCTCCTCCTCCTCCTCGTCCTCCTCCTCCTCCTCCTCTTTCTCCTCATCCTCTTCCTCCTCCTCCTCCTCCTCCTCCTCCTCCTCCTCATAATCCTCATCCTCCTCCTTTTCCTCTTTTTCCTTATCCTCTTCCTCCTCCGCCTCCTCTTCCTCCTCGCTGCCCGCTGCCCCCTTCGCTGCGGTCCAGACGGCGCGCCCAGCGCCGCGCCTCCGCTGCAGGCGCTCCACGGACGCCTTTCCCCGCGTGCTTTGAGGGGGGGGGGCTCGGACGCGCGGAGGAGGGGCGAGGGGGGGGAGACGATTGGGAAGAGAGGGCGGGGAGGACGAGGAGAGGACGACGGAGGAGGAGGAGGAGGAGGAGGAGGAGGAGGAGGAGGAGGAGGAGGAGGAGGAAAAGGCGGAGGAGGAGGAGAACGAAGAGGAGGACAAGGAGGTGGAAGAGGCGGAGGAAGAGGAGATTAAGGTTGACCGCGTCGAAAGCGAGTGCAAACAGTGGCGGCCTAACTGCCAGCCGCGCGACTCTCAAATGCGTCTGCGAATATGCGGATACGAGCCCTGCCGAAGCAGAGGCCTGCCTGGGGCGGCCCTTGGGGCCTTAATGACAACATTCGTGGGGAGGTGGGCGCGCTGCAAAAGGCTCTCTTCGAGCCCAGCTGATCGCAGCGCGGGGGGGGGGGAGGATTGGGGGGGGGGAGGACTTCGGGCTCCCGCGGCCCTCCCAACCAATGGGGACAGATCGGCGACACAAACGACTTGACGAGGGACAAGGGAGGAGGAGGAGGAGGGAGGAGGAGGAGGAAGAGGAGGAGGAGAGGAGGAGGAAGAGCGGAGGAGGAGGAGGAGAGAGGAGGAGGAGGAGGAGGAGGAGGTGGTGGAGGGAGGAGGAGAGGAGGAGGAGGAGGAGGAGGAGGAGGAGGAGGAGGAGAGAAGAGGGGAGGAGGAAGGAGGAGGAGAGGGAGGGAGGAGGAGGAGGAGGAGGGGAGGAGGAGGAGGAGGGAGGGAGGGGGGGCAGGAGGGAGGGGGGGGAGGAGGCGGCGCGCGCCACTCTCTCCCCTGCCCTGCCTTCCCGCCGCGCCCCCCCCCTGCCTTCGCAGGCCTAGAGATTGACACCAGCACCAATTTCGGCGGTGTGCCTCCACCGAGGGAAGAAGATCCCGATCTCGGTGATGGTGGAAATATTCTGGCTTCCAAGGTGGCCGAGCTATTACCACCAGCACCGAGAATCTGGGATCCTCTTCCCCCGGCGGAGGCAGCCCCCTGTCCTGGTGCTGGTGCCGATTTCGAGGCCTCCGATGCCTGCCCCTTCGCACCCCCAGGCCAAAGGCAAGGAGAAACAGGTCAGCAGGCACGGGGGCACGGGGAGAAGACCCGACCGACGGGGGGGGCGAGGAGGGCAATGTGGGAGAAGCCCTGCAAGGCTGACGGATCGCGGGAGGACGGCGAGCGGAGGACGAGGACCGGATAGCGGACAGGACGCGACAGGGCGGAAGAGCAGCGAAACACAGGACGACGTAGGGATAAGGCGAGGGGTGGGAGAAGCGAGGGACCTTGGGGGGGGGGGGGGGGGCAAACAGGAATCCCTGTTCCAGAGACTCGGCTCCGAGGCACTGGTTTTCTCCACACCTCAAATTACCAGGGCCTACTTCGACGCTGCCACTCCCTGTCTATACTGGTTTGGCCCATGTTTGGCTGCGGGTGTCGTCGGGGTTCCTTGGGGGTCCAGGAGCTCGGCGTGAAGCGTCTGCGCTCCAGCTGTTGGTCGAATATTTTCTTCCATAAGTCGTCGCAATCGGGTCGGGTCCTGCGGTCGTGGCAATTCCGCCAGGCCCCGAGCAAGGTGCATGCACCTACAGGCAAGACGTTCAGGCGTCCACACGTTGCAAACCGAGCCCGTTGCCTTCTCGCCGAATTTCCACCACCAGGTTAAAGGTCCCCGGCCCACTGCGTCCTTCTGCCCTCGAAAGCAGAACTCGTCGCCTCCCGTGCGGCGGTGATGACGCTCTGGTTCTTCGGCGGGGAAGCGTCTTCGCGCCTCGTTGGCACAACTCTTTCCTTGCCCTGCTCTGCCCTGCTACCGCCATGATGTTCCCAGGCTGACCAACTTCGTTTCACCCAGCACAGCCTAACCGTAGTGCACCCAGCTGGTTGTGTGGTCAGCCATCCTGTTCCATTTTTTGTCATGACTGGCGGGCTGTGTCCAGCTTGCTGCTGGAGTTCCTCTTCGTCATCGATCCCCTCCCTCTCGCCCGCTGGCCCGGCCAGGCTGGACCCCGCCCGTAGCGCGCCCACGTTGAAGGGTCGCCCACCTTCCACCCGGGTTTCGCCGACAACGTCGGGCGCCCCTTCGCGTCCTCGCAGTCCAGGTTGATGAGGTCGTTCTCCTTCTTCGGTACCTGATTATTATTGCACCCTCTTCTTTGTCGTAGAGCAGCCCCTCGAGCTTGGGCAGTCCCGCGGTGGCCTCAGTTTGCAGTCTTGGGCTGGCCCATGAGCATCAGAATGCGTTCTGCTCTGGCAGTCTCGCCTCCGCTCGCGGTTGGCATCACCGCGTTGCTCCTGTCCCGGCTGGGAAGCTGCTAGCGCTGATGTCTCGCGATGTTTATCTGCCCGCCGAGGCTACCCTGCGCGCGCCCCGCCCCACCCCCCGCCTCGCACGCACGCGCACACGCACGCACAGACACACACACACAAACACGCACACACACAAACACAGACACAGACACAGACACAGACACAGACACAGACACAGACACAGACACAGACACAGACACAGACACAGACACAGACACACACACACACACACACACACACACACACACACACACACACACACACACACACACACACACACACACACACACACACACACACACACATAACACACACACACGCGCGTCCCGCAACACGTCCCGATGTTCTCGCTGGCTCTGTCAAGCGCGCACTCGATGCCCCCCGCAGCTCGCGCTGCGGCATGTCCTCTGGAGAAGGGCGATGGATTGCAAATATCCTTCGCTGTGGCTTTTATGTTCCCTGTGGAACTTTTCCTCGTCAGCGTTCTCCTCCTACTGCGACTTTCTATGTCCGTTGGACTCCTTCGTTGCCTGCGCCCCCCTCCCTGTAAAAAAAGTGAACGCCGGGAAAGGCTTGTCCCTCTAGTCGGGCCAAATCAGCTACGCGACCGCTTGTGTCCTTTGCTGGCTTGTTTGGTCCGTTGGAGTCAAATTTCACGTCGTTCCCCTTCCCCTGCCCCGTCGGAGCTCCTGGTCCCGTCGGCACTGCGCGGCGGTTCGAATCAACTTCTCGGCGACCGCCCTGTCCCCCGACCCGTCCACTCAATGGATCTTCTTACCCGCCATAATGAATCCCTCGTCGATGCCCCTGTCGCCCTTCTCCTCCTCCGCGCCCGAGGCGTGGTGGCGTATCTCGAGTGGTCCCTTCGCGATCATGTCCTGGTTCGGGTCTGCGCAGTTGAGCGCCTTTCTGATGGCCCCCCGAATGTTCTGGCAGATCTCAACGCGGCAGGCGAGGCCCTCGATCAGGCGGCGCCTCAGCCGGTAACGTGCCCTGCAGATGATGAGCGACGATGTATTGCGACTGGCTCTGAGGGCCAGCATTCGTCATATTCTGCAAATCCTGCATCTAGAAATCCACCGCGAGCCAGATCACTTCGTCGATCGCAGAAATGCCAGAGACACCTCCCACTAGTTCCATCGCAGACAGCCTCGCAACAAAAAAATGATTACCCCCCCATCTTGGCGCCCATCAAGGCCTCGCCCGTGCCTGTTGCCTGATCGAGGCTTGTCCAGCGCGCTGCGCCAAGAACTCGCGCGCTGGTCGGAGCCCTGAAATACTCGGACTGATTGGGGGGTGTCCCGGCTGCTGGACCCCAGGTGGTCGGTCCCGCGGGCCTCCGCCCTCCGCGGGATTTCACGAGGGCCCTCCTCCCCCTCCTCCTCCTCCTCCTCCTCCTCCTCCTCCTCCTCCTCCTCCTCCTCCTCCTCCTCCTCCTCCTCCTGTTCTCCCCTACCCCAGGAGGCGCCCGCAGGGCGCGAGTGCACAGGAGCAGGCGCGAGGAGATGAACAGGTAGAGGGACGCCGTGACCACCTGCGGGGAAGGTCGCGGGGAAGGGTGCGGGGAGAGCGCCAGCCACCCCGACATCCCCGCGCCGTGCCAGCAGACGACGGAGCAGATGCTCGACGGGCTTCTGCCCTCGGGGGCCCTTGCTGGGCCCCAGGGGCGCCAAAACACCATCCCCAGGGTGAGAGGCCTCCCAGATGGGGTCCGGGCAGATGGGGTCGGAGGATCGCACCGCATCTCCTACGTATTGGCACTGCATCGGCGATGCATCGGCGACGTCGGCGATGCATCGGCGCCATCGGCATGGAGAAACTCTGGCCCCCCATGGAGCCACATCGTCGATGCATCGGCGATGCGGCGCGATCCACCGACCCCGTCCGCTCGGACCCCATCTGGCAGGCCCAGGATGAACAGCTGGCCCCCATAAGACGAAACTGGGGCGAGGACACAATCGGGTGAGGATGAATCGAGAATCTCTGAGATCAGGCGGCTCTGGAAGATGTCTCCGGCGCCACGGCCCTCTCCCAGCGATCCGGGACGCTCTGAGAGCGTTCCGGAACGCTCTGGAACGGATTTGTCCAGACCTCTCCTGGGGTGCGCCCTGGCCGGAGCTTCCGAGGCAGATCCCGCCGCAGCGACGAAGGGCCTCCCGGATGCCCCCCCAACAAAAAAATAAACGCCGAACTTCCAAAACAAACGGTCCCGGATATTCTCCTGCCACTTGTGATGGGACGACGGATCTCAGAACACAAGCTTGCACAACCCCTGCACAGTGCCCCTTGCACAACATGCACAACCCTCGCACGGCCCCCCGTGCACAACCCATTGCACAACCCCTTCAACAATCTCTCCTTCCAAAACATATTATATACTGATGGTTAGTACTCCGCGGGCTAGTACCCAAAAGGCGCCCTAATAAACCGGACCCCCCCTGAACGTCGGCTTCAAGAAA